GTACAATGATGAGACCTTGCCACCAATCTAGTATTGCCCTTAAATTCATAAAATCTGTGCTCATCATTTGAGATCATCCAAACAATTACCATGAAAGTATTCATAGAAAAGACATCTACATTACTGCAGTGGGAATGTGACTGGAGCTGAGATGCCATGTCAGGACCAGTAACATTGCAGATTGTTCTTTGGATTTTATCAAGAATCTCTAAATGTAAAGCAAGAGCATGAGACCAGATATGGCAGCGACATTCAAAGAATGGATGGATTGTAGGCTTGTAAATATGCAAGCACTGTGGTTTTGAACTGATTGATCACCCTCCCCATTCTCCTGATTTGGCCCTATCTGACTATCACCTGTTCCCCAACATGAAAAAACACTTGGCTGGGAACCAGCATCATAGTGATGATGACATCATATCTGCTGTTCATGACTTTTTTTTTTTAACAGGATGTAAGCTTCTTCACCAATGGAATCCAAGCACTGTATAACCAATGGAATAAGTGTTTGAACCGCAAGTGGGACTATGTTGAAAAATAAACCTCCTTTGGTCACATTCCATGAGAGTATTTTGATCAGCCTATGAACTTTTCATCTGACCCTCATTCATATATATATATATATATATATATATTGTGTGTGTTATTCGCCTGAGTTTTTTTTAACCAGGTTTAACAAACCTATTAGAAAGTTGGTAATTAAAAAAAAAAAAAAATAATCATAGTATAGTCTTTATTTTTTTTAAGCGTTTCACCCCAAGCAAGGCAGGAAGCCACTAGGACGCAAGGGGTTACAGAAAATAGCAAGATCAGATAGGAGTGATAGAAGATAACATGAGGGTAGTGGATAGATCAAGGCAACTGGAGATGTCGATTAACATTACACTTGAATAGCTGGAGATTATAGCTCACAGGGAAACAGGAGAAGGGAAGGGAGTTCCACAGGCGAGAGGTGCGAGACATGAAGCTATTGGAGTAGAAGAGACGGCTACATTTAGGAGTTTCGACAGTGAAGGGGTGAGAGCAGGATGCCAGCCTCATAGGGCGCTAGAACTCATGACGTCTGGGAACCAGCGAATGCAGCTCCTCGGAGCAATTTCCATGAAAGTATTAGTAGAACAGACAGAAGGAGGCGACAGCGTGTCTGTGAGAAAGTGACTGTAGACGAGACGCCAGGGCAGGGCCAACCACATTGCATCTCCGCCTCTGGAGCCTATCAAGAACCCCTAGGAAAACAGAAGGGGCGCCAGACCATATATGGCAGCAATACTCCATGCAAGGGTGAATTGTGGATTTGTATATCTGGAGGATCGACTCAGGGAGAAAAAAACTTCCTAAGCTGCTCAGGGAGCCAACTTTCCTCGCAGTGGACGGGCAATTGACTCGATGTATTTATTCCATCTCAGGTCAGCAGTGTCTTGTCATCAGCTTTACATTGTATCCAAGGATTTAATTTCTTCTTAGCTGATCATTTCTTTTATGATGGTGTTGATGATTAAATTTGCCTCCAATGTGCAAGTTCAGGACTAGAAGCTTCCAGTTTCACCAAAACTTGATCCCATTATCCATTCCCTATCAACATTTTGCTTCACAAGTGTTGATTGAAGGTGAAATAAAATCAGAGTAGAAGTGCCAATAGCATGAATTTGTTTAAGGTGGACCTCAACAGGCCAAGAAGTGAACCACACACTTGATTTTATGACCTTCCTTTGCGGCACATATGAAATGAGACATGCAGAATCCAGTTATTATATTTATAGGTTCCTAAAAAATTCTTTTTATTAAATATAGGTTTCTAAAAAAAATTGCTTTTATTAACTATAGGTTTCTAAAAAATACCTTTTATTAGTTTGGTTTGGTTTGTGGCATATCAACCACAATGGGTTATTTAATGCCAACAATTTTTATTACTGGTAATATTTTTTTTCTTCAAACATCTATAACCAGTAATATTTTTTCTCTGAAAATGTATTGCTGGTACTAATTTTTACAAAGTATTTCTGGTATGAAAACCCATTTTTACACTTTCATACTGAGGTTAACTATTTACCCATAGCTGGGACCCTAACAGGTGTGACCTAGGAACACCAGCAATTAAGATGTGGTTCCATGATTCTCAAAACCTCCTGATTAGAAACCTTGCTGTTGGACGTAGTTTATCGTCTTACCCAGGACAGTCCTTTTATAAATTATAGGTTTCTATTAGTAGAATATTAATAGGCATCCCCACCAAAAAAAAAAAAAAAAAAAAAAAAAAAAAAAATGGTGCAGTGAGCATTAAGGGGTTAAAAGAATGAACTTGAAAATTCCTATATCAACAAACCACATGCATATTAATTCATTATAGGAATTTGAGCCCAGATTAATCTTCTTAACCGAATTAATACATGTGATGCAAATATATTCTTTCAAGATTGGCTTATTTTTATGGCTTGTCACTCTTTTTAACATTACTTAAAGCTGAAACATATTTTTGGATTTTAAGAATTTTTTGGAGATAATAGCGATTTTCAGATATAAGTCCTAGTATTTAACCCATAGCTGGGACAAGAAGAGGTGGATTCATACCTTTCTTAAAAGGTATTTGCCTGTAAGCAAATCTGAGTAACCCAACTGAGATTCATTTGCGGCTCTCCTATTTCGCATGCCAAGCCATTAACAAGTGCACCACCTGCACTTCCAGGTTTTTCAGGACCTGGTATTCCCCAAGCAGAGATCCCATCTAGGTACTGACCAAGCTCAATATTGCTCAACTTCAGTGATAGGATGAGAACTGGTGTTTCAATGTAATAGGCTGTAAGCCTATTCTCTCTAGAATAAATTTATCAATATTGAACACATGAATACTGAACAGTGGGTAATGATGATAACATGATCATCATGTCAATCAGTAAGTCAGGTATGCACAACTGTTCAAGTTTAATTTCATTATTGTTTACATAATATACATACATTGATAAAATGATATAAAATTATAAACTTGTACACTTGAGCTTGACTTTTTAAGAAACTAAAAGAATGTGCCATTTAAATTGAAAACAAACAAAAAAAAGAAAAAAAGAAAAAAAGAAAAAAACAGGTAATCACTTGTAATTTTAAGATTATCAACCAAAACAGTTCATAGCATTTAAACTGATTGCATCTGGAAAACTTCAAGATTTAGTTTCAGTGTTGAAGATTACACTGATGATCGTCCTATTTATTTATCTTATTTGGTCCAACCAAACACATTCTTTCTGAACTTGCATGTGGTATCTGTCAGATACATTAGTTACCTTATCTGAAATATGTTGCCAAGAATATTGCAACTTTATTCTTGATTCAATTTTCACAAAAATGTGAAGAATATTATTTTATATTTTATTTGATTTTCACATAAATTAAAAAGAAAATATTGCAATTTTGTTCTCGTAAGGCAAATCAAATTAAAAGAAAAAATAAACTTTATTTTCTAAAAAATTAAAAAAGAGGAAATGTAATAGAAACTGGGCATATACTTTTAGCAAAAAAAAAAAAAAAAAAAAAAAGAAGAAGAAAAGCAAAGAAAAGAAATTGACCCTACCATATTATTCAAGGATAAGTCACACTTTTTTCCCCACCAAAATCTCAATAAAAATTATAGGCCTGACCAATCCACTCAACATCAAAGAGAATCTGAAGTAGACTGTGGGGTATCAGCAGTCCAGGTGAGTACCCTGGGCTCAAACATAGATGAGAGTAAGAGAGAAAATGAATTTTTCCCAACATTTTGATTTTACCCAATTGCCTCTGCCAACTGTACTGTGTCACACAACAAATAAAAGTGATCTATCAACACTTCACCCTTTATTTATTATCTGATTTATGACAAAAGACTATCAAGTCATTTTAGGACTGATGAAGTTTAATAACTACATCGAAACAAATAAAGAATTTTCTTATGTTTTAATATATGTAAGTAAAATTTTGAAATAATGGTGAATATTTGAAAATATTTAACAAATATTAGTTATATTTATATGAAGGAAGCACCATTTAACTACTCAGATCATAGTACGACCTATCTGCAAGTGAACTGCAAATATCCACTTTGACAACCCAAAACTAAAAGTGTGACCGATCTATAACTATATATGGTACAAAATAACCCAAAACATCCACATCATTTATTTAACCACACATTCCCCTGGTTTTGATTGTCTTTATGTCGATTATACGAAATGTAACTAGGACTAGGACAATAAAACAAGTAATTATACAGTAAAAGTGAGGGTATATTACTCTTATATTCCTGGATCAGACAAGAGACTCTGTAGTTTTAGAGGCTTCTGGAATTATTTACTGTGTAAAGTTATATAAAGCAATATAACAAGTATTACCAATCATGTAAGCATCTTTCCTCTCAGTATAATAATCTCATAGTGTGTGTGTGTGTGTGTGTGTGTATATATATATATATATATATATATATATATATATTATTCCCCAACAAAATCAACATCACCAAGACAATCCATTTTAAATCCAAAATAGTGGCCAATTTTCTTCATAAATCTTGTCATTATAGCTCAAAGGAATTAACTGGGTGTATGTAAGTTATCTCCCTTTGTTGATCAAGTGGACAAACAAAATGGTCATGTTGAAGGTGACTGTGACATTATCATCATCGACTACAAGCTTTCCCAACCTGGGTGATATTGCCCACCAGTGGATGATTTCAATTGTTGGCTGGGCAATAAGCAAATGAACAGAAAATGGGGGTCGTTTGAAAATTTTAGTGGGGAATATAGAATTTTAAGTATTGAATAGGTATTTCAACATATGCTACCTGGGGTGGGGGGATTCAGAGATATGCAGAAAACCTGTATTAAAATTTTTTTTTTTTTTTTCAAAGTTAAAAAAAAAAAAAAAAGTCTAAGTGGGTCACATTCCTGGATTAGATAACTATCCACACAGCCAATGAATATTTAGATATTTTATATAGATTTGAGAAGGGAAACATGCATTCTCTAAATGCTTACCTCCAAACATCACTGTTCTTGGAGAATTTTGAGACCTTAATAACCTCTGGAGCCATCCAGGCGTAAGTGCCTGCTGCACTCATCCTGGTTGTCTTGCAGACTTCTCGTGCCAGACCAAAGTCTGTGATTTTGAGCGTCTTGTCCGACAAGATGTTCTCATGAATTTTTTCTTTCAACAAAACTGAAAAGAAACAAAAGTAAAATTAATTATCAGCTATAATAAAGCAAAAATGTAATTTAAAGCAAAAAGAAAGGAAAGGAATTTTTTTTTCTTTTTAAAAATGCCAAATGCTTTCTTCCCATCAATATTTAACAAGTATTTGGGGTGTTTGGATTATGGTCATTATCAATGAGATCTTTACAAATTACCTCACTCTTATGGCCTTGTATTAAACTGAGTAAAATAATCACTTAATCGTGAAACAATGACTGACAACTTAATCTTTCAAATAATTAAAACTCAAACTTGCAGTTTGTGTAGGAAGTTAAGCAAAACAAATATGAAAAATTTTCAGGATCATAACAAAATAGAAAGAAATCTAAAGATACTGTATCCAATTCTCTACAGTAGATATAATCTAATCCTACTTTCTATATTAGAGAAAAAAAGTTTCAGTTCACAGCAATTTTCCATTCTAATATATATATATTCATCTTCAAATTTATTTTTACTTTACTTTTAAGCAGTTTATATATTTTCTAAAGCAGTGAAGAAAAAATGTCTGACATCATTTTCTCAGGTAATAAAAAAAAAAAAGATGGCTGACATTTTCTAAGGCACTAAAAGGAAATAATGGCTGACAGCATTTTCTAAGATAATAAAAAAAATGAATGACATCATTTTCTTAGGCAGTAAAAGGAAAAAAATGACTGACATCATTTTCTAAGGTAATAAAAAAAATGGCAGACAACTTCTAAGGCAGTAAAAGAAAAATAGCTGACATCATTTTTTATGGTAGGAAAAAATGAATTCTCTATCCCACATAAGTGGATGCATATCATTTTTAATTTTATGGTTCACTGATTACCATATCTGATGGCCTTTAATTCTCCTTCTTGAACTCCTCCAATTTCCGAAGACTCAAAAAATATGTTCCTTGTCATTATGCAAATGATCAGTTGGTTAATGGTTACTCAAATACAAGAGATAAACAATTATTGTACCTATATCCATAATATTCTAATATTAAATGTAAAAATACAATCATTTACTGATTTCTGTCTGAAATTCAGAGATGAGGAATTTATATTATTTACATAAAGTAAACAAGTTTGTGACAATAACAAAGATGAGTACAATAGTCTATATTGTACTCATCTTTGTTATCACAAACTTTCAGCTAATGCACCTTCTAACTTTTATCAGGTGATTGTAGATCTGGATAACCATCATGGAATTTTGAACTGAACTCTTTATTTAATCCCGGGGGGGGGGGATTACTCTTGTTTCACTGCCCATTGAATAGCTAGTTTAGTACATTTAGTACCACTCAGTTACTGTTTGCCCCCATTTCCACCAAGTCCAAGTACACACTGGCACAGGGATTGAACTTCAATTTTTACATCACCAAATTCATTAACCAACACATTAATCCACTAGGCTACCATCCTGTGGGACAATTCTGTGTTGAGGACTTGGAACCTTAAAATGAATATACCTGCTGATAAGTACTGCCACACTTCTTTTTTTTTTTTTCTTTTTTTTCTTCTTTATCATTTCACCCCACACAAAGCAATAAAGCCACTAGAATGCAAGGGGTTACTGAGTGTTAAAGAATATGAGAAAAAAACTACTATTAAAGAGAGAGGACAATAAAAGAATAGGAATCAAGATAACAGAAAATAATAACTGATATTGCATTTAAAGTTTTGAAGATCAAAGTTGACTGGGAAGGAATAAACCAGAAGTGAGTTCCACAAGCAAGAAGTGATAGAAGAAACTTAACATAGAATTTGCGGTTAAATCTAGCCATCTTAACTGTAAATTGATAAGACCTTGCCACCAATCTAGTACCATAGAGAACAATTACATGAAAGTATTTATAGAAAAGGCAAAGGGAAGCTACATTACAGGAGTGAGAAAGTGACTAAAGTCAAGATGCAAGGTCAGGATCAATAATATTGCAGATTCTTTGGATTTTATCAAGAATCTCAAAATATATAGCATGAGCATCAGTTCATATGTGACAGCAATATTCAAAGCAAGGACAAATGGTAGACTTATAAATATGTAAGATAGATTTTGGCAAGAAAAATTGTCTAGCACAACATAGTGAACCACCTTTCCTAGCAGGAGATCTAGCAATTGATTCAATATAATCTTTCCATTTCATGTCAGCTGAAAACGTTAGTCTGAGAAGGCACAATGAGTCATTCTCTTCGAGGTTAGCATCAGCCATGCTGATGGAAGCTAAAAAGGATTTTTTCTCAAATAATTAAAACAGAACAGTTTCATTTTTGAGGTGTTAAAGTTAACAAGCAACTCTTCCCCATTTAACAACAGATTGTAGATCATTTTTTAGATCAGCTATCAATTTGACTTTATAGTTGAGAACTGATGACATCAGAAAGGTCATTCATGAAAATTAGAAACAACAAAGGTCTAAGGATAGAACCCTGGGGAACACCTGCATTTATGCAAAAAGACCTAGAAGAGTGACTAATCAAGGTAACTTTAATTTTGTGATTTCATAAGAAAGACAGTTTAAAGATTCATCCAGAAATACTATTCAACTTGAAGACCAGTATGCTTTCAAGATGTCCTAGTCAATCGCCCAAGTTTCACCATTCTTATCTAAAGCTTGATAGACTCTTTCAGCAATAATCATTAACTTATTAGCAGTTAACCTAGAGAAGTGAAAGCCATATTGCTTACCTGAACAGAAGACCCCATGATGTGAGATGCTTAACCAAGTCATAAATAATTAGAGCCACTAGTTTTTTTTACCAACAAAATGCTTTTGGCGTGACTGCTCTATGGCTTATTTCCATGGAAAATATTCAGACGCACTACATTCCTTAGTTCCACCCGTTCTAACCATTACAGTTAAGACCTAGAAGAGAGATCATTCAGAACAATTTTCATTTCATGATTTGATAAGAATGATTAAAGAAGTTCAAAAATCCATCCAGAAATGCCATACCTCTTCAACTTGTGAAGGACACCAGTATACCAAACTCTGTCAAATGCTTTCGAGATTTCCTGAGTTTCACCATTCTTATCTAAAGCTTGATAGGTTAATGATTATTGTTGAAAGAGTCTATTAGCACTTAAGCAATGGCTTTCACTTCTCTAGGTTATCTGAAAGAGGACCCTATGACCGAGTTGCTTAACCAATTTATAATTAGAGCCTTTAGAACTTTGCCAAAAAGAAGTAGAAGGTTGATATGAGGATCAGATGTCTCGTCTAAGTTCTGGAATTACAGACAGAAGAGGATTTCCAACAAGCAAGAAAGCAACAAGCAACAAGGCATTTATTGAAGGGTTTAGAGAAAACAGGAGAGTGTTCAAGAGCACATTTCTTAAGGACTATTGCAAGGATGCCATTAAATCCACATTCAGCTTTAAAATGATGGACAGAGTTATATGCAGATCACTCAATACAGACTCAGTTCTAAGTGGAAAGTCAAGCAAATGAGTCAAGAATAGAATTTAGGAATTAAACAAGCAAAACATTCTGCATTATCAGCAACAGATGTTAAGATCTCAAATTGAGTGACGAGAGGAGGGATAGAAGACTTAATCTTAATCTTATTTAAGGCTTAATCTTATTTAGTTCTGCATGATTACTGGTGGCTCCATTACAGAGCCACCAATAGTCATGAGAATCAAACTTGTTAAAGTCTATACAGTACCTCATTCTATCAGCAAAGACTTATTCTCTTTGAGGACATGTCTACAATTATTTCAAGCAGTCACAAATAGGTGTCTGTTGTGAGCAGAATTATCATGCTGGTAAACCCAGAAAAAAGTGATTCCTAAGAGCTATGGCAGCTAAACTGGCTGTCGTGAACTAAGGTGAAGATTGTGGTTTCACCTGACATTTGCAAGGTACAAAAACATGAATGCAGGCTTAAAACAAGAAGAAACCTGTGGCACAATTCTCAATATGAAGAATATCAATTCAACTGGCATCTCAAATAAAGTCACAAAATGAATCCCAATCATTATGCTGGTAGCAGAAATAAGTCTTGTGAATCGGAGATTCCTTTGTAATGACTCAAAAGAAATATCAATAGATAGTACAATGAGATCCAAATAGCCAAGAGGACAGAGTTGTGATGCTATATAAGAGCTAGGAGAGGAGGTATGGAGAAAAAAATCAAGTCAAGTAAAGAAAAATGTTGAACAGATTTATTAGGGAAAAGAGTAAGAAAATCCACTATTTGACTGAGAGACTGAACAATGGAAAATTGAAAGTCTGAATACCAGCAACATTTATTTTTATTGACTGCACTCAATGAGGCTCTTCTCTTTTTACTGCAGCTGCTGATGCAATTGAAGCCTTGCTGTTACTTCTATCTATTTATAACTCATATAACATTTATTTGTGGCCAATGCCTAGATGGGTGTTCAGGAATACAATGTGCTATAAGCTTGGATGTGAGTCTAGGGTAATTGATAATAGCTTGGAATTGGAAATCAAAGAGCAGAGTTCCAATTCCAGTCAGGTCTGTTATGTGCAAATACACTTGAGAAAGGAATGAAGCCACCTCTTCGCTCTCTCAGCTATGGATTAATTAATAGAACTTGTATCAATAAATCTTTATTATCTAAAAATATTCTAAAAATAATTTCTGGCTTTAAATAACCTTAAAAAGGTTGATAAGCCATAAAAAACAAAATCTATCAATCATGCTTAGACTAACAGAATTGAAAACTAATATTTTTTTGTCTTTACATAGCTATTTTGCTAAGACAAGAAATTTTTAAACATTCCACATTGGATTTATGAGCAAGAGGAGGAGGTAATGGACAAACAGTTTTTGGGTTGCAGGGTTTGTTTTGTTTTAATCCACATATCAAGAGAGATACAAAAAAAAAGAAAAGAAAAAT